AAAAAAAAAAAAGAAAGAAAGAAAGAAAAAAAACCCAACCAGAATGTATTTATTTAATATACATCACAAGGGCTCAACCAGAGACTAATTTAAAAAACAAACAAAACAAAAATACCACCAAAGTTCGAGATACAGAGTCCTATAGAGAAATCAAGGAAAGGACAGAACACTGAAGGAAAAAATGAAAACACAATATAGGGAGAGGCTGAATAGTTTGGGTCAGGGCTGCTGGTTGGATACCTACTTTCAGTAGGTTTCTTGCAGGTACTTCTTAAAAGCTGTGGGGTTTTTCCAGAGCTCAGCAGCACGTTTATTCAAAGAGCTATCAATGTTGTGTTCTCCTAGAAGGCTCTGAATGGAAAGCAAGATGGTTCTGACATCACACAGGGCGGACCACTTGTCCTTCAGAAGTCCAGGCAGATGTTACCCTGGGTGTTCACATTGGGGTGGTAGCAGGGTGTGAGGAACTTTGCCGTGGGTTCATTGTAAGGGTGGCCACTGGGGAACTCTAGGGAGAGCTTATACCTCAGGTCTTCATATACTATGCCAGCTGCTCCATGGATGGCCCCTACTCATTTGAAAAGTTGTCTGATTCAGGGAAGGCAGAAATTCCTTTGTCACCAGATGTCATGAGGGTCATCAGCTCATGCTGTAGCCTTTTGCCCATGGGGCCCCAGGTGGTGCCCCCACTGGGCTCAGCTCCTTTACGGGCCACCGCGAAGCTGGCAGCTGCTGGGTCTCCCTTTTGGGAGGCCATCCCAGTCACGCTGGCAGGGAGATAGGAATTCAGAAAACATGGCTGCAATTGCAGCTCCCTCCCTTTCTTTTGGTCAAAGCCACTGCAAGTAAATTTATGTAATCTGAAGACAGAATGGAAAACCCACAGGGTGGAATAATGAAGACATCACCTGAATTTCTAAATTCTCCTGGTAGTGAAATTTTATTCTAATTCCTAGCTGGGAAGCAATCAAGTAAGGTTCTACTTGGCAGGTGTTGTAGTTAACAGAAAGTTTTGTAAAGAGGTAAACTTTACACCTTACAGCCTGACCTTGGACAGACTGTCTTGTGCATGTATAATGTGCACTCTGTAGATCTTTTTCTTTTATAATGCATGTTCTTTTTCCACACAGACTTCCTCTCCTGTTACAGGTGGGAAAGAAGCGGTAAGTATATAACTTGAAATGCTGAGCCTTAGTTTGGTCATTTATAAAATGGGGTTAATAATGCCCTACCCATCTTGTGCATTTGTTTTGAGGATTAAAGTTTGATAGATGAACTGTTGCCAAGCATAGAACCAGGATCAACTATTATTCTTATGACCAACTTAGCTCAGAAGTGAAAACATGTGAAATCACAGGGGCTTTCACAAAGCGTTGAGCAAAAGAAGCCAGACACCAAAAAGCACATCCCTTATGGACATCTACATGATGTTAAAAAAACAGATGCAATTGGATTCCAGGGTATGGTCACACACAGGAGCCTGAAGATGTCTGGAGGGCTTCTGGAGTACTGGTGATGTTCTGTTTCTTGAAATGGGTGTTGGTTAAATGGGTATGTTCCTCATGTGAAGTCATCAACCTATATATTTATGATTCGTATACTTTTATTAGCTTTCAATAAAATCACCACTCCAAGTGTGAAGGAGAATCCAGTATTATACGAGTTACACATTTATATGAGGGATTCTGCAGATTCTTTTCAAAATATCCAGATAATCTGAAAATGCATGTGGCTTCAAACATGAATTTTTCCATTCAGATCAAAGCAAAGTAGGAATTTGAAAATCACTTGATTAATGCATGTAGTGTAAGAAAATTTTTAAAAATTCACATCAAACTGGTATGGTAAATGTTAATAAAAGCTTTAACTTTTTGCCAAACTGGTAGATGAAAATAGTATCTAACTGTTGTTCTGAATTGTTTCTCAGCTTTTCCTATGTTGAAGAGGCATGTGTACAACTATTTCTAAGAGTGCCTGTTCATATCACTTGCCCATTTTCCACTTTATCACCCTTTCCAACTGATTTGAACTATGTAAATTAAGTCCTGTGGAAACAAGTCACTTGTCATGTATGTTACAAGCATTTTTTCACATTATTTTATTGCCCGTTTGATATTTTATATGATATTTAGGGTCAGTACAAAATGGATTCAATAGATTCTAGAATTTTTTCTTTATCCTTAAAGAATCTGGGCTCCCCTGACTGTGTGCTTTTCTCTCTATGCCAGGACTGTGGGCCATCTCTTGGACTAGCAGCAGGCATCCCATCCATAGTGGCCACAGCCCTGCTGGTGGCTCTGCTATTCACATGGATTCACCGAAGAAGAAGTAGCACTGAGTCCATGGAGGTGATTACCAGCTTCTTTGGGCCTGGGTGTGTAAGCAGGGATCAGTATGGCTTTTAGGTTGAGGGTATAAGAATTCAACCCATGTCTATTTTCTGAGGACAAGACGATGGAAGTTTCTGTGACATAATTTCATTTCAGATGTGACATTAAGCCCCATGCAGATTTGGCATACAACCCTCATTTAGAAGCTTCACAAAGGGAGGATGAAAATAATGTTAGGACAGATGGGAGACAAAAAGGTGCTGAGGGGTCTACATTAGGGATGTGTGAACTATTTGTCTCTGTCTTTCCCCCACATCTGAGCATGACAGCTCACAAGAGAATCTACATTCATCCCACCCTCAGGTCCTCTTCTCCCCAAATGCGAGATTGCTCTGGGGACCATTCTCAGAATTCAAAGGCCTTCAAGACCAATATCCAACAAGGTTCCATAGTGTCCAGGTTTCTAAGGTTCCACCACGTCATGTGGACTCTGGGTTCTAATTCCATTCTCTATTTATGAGCATTCCTCTCACACTGGTAAGCATGAATGGAAAGGTAGATAATTCTAATTCTGACTCTGCCACTTTATGATTTACATGATCCTGAACAAGTGGCTTAGCATTTTCTATGCCTTGGTTAGTTCAACTCCAAAACAGGAGTCGTAAAAGTCACTCTCTCTATTTTAACAGGTAGGCAAAGTTGTAGACAAAATGAGATCAGGAATGATGAACATCTTTTCATCATATCACATGTAGAAGTTCACAAGTTATAAACTTTAAACACATTGAGAAGTATGGGGTGGGCAGGAATGATTTATAGAAATAATAGTTTCTCAGCCTTTAGTGCACTTTAAACTCATTAAAGAGGTTAAAAAAATACCAATCACCAAAACCCAATTAAATCAGATTTTTGGATGATAAAGCTGTAGCCTTGATTTTTTTTAAAAGAAAACCTTTCTATTATGGATAATTTAAAATATATACTAAAATAGATTATTATAATGAACCCAATTATCAACTCACAGCCAATCTTGTTTAATTTCTACTCAGGCCCTAGATTATTTTTGAAGTAACTCACAATGATATTTCTTGGTTTTCTTTTGGGCTCTTTATGTGGTAGGGGGAGTTACTAGCTGTTTGTATATTTATTTTGGTTTTGTTGTTCTAATGTGCACTCAGGTTTAAAAATCACTGATCACAATGTGACTCTACCCTTCCCTTCCCTCCTCCCTTTCTCTCTCTCTCTCTTTCTTTCTTAAAACAATTTAGGAAAGTGAAAGACCATGTGAAATTTCAGAAATTGATGACAATCCCAAGATACTTGAGGTGAGAACTCTTGGTTATGATCTCTATATATCACCCACACAGTAAATAAGCTAAGAGTTTTAAAGCCTTTCATGAACGAAAGAAATACAGTGTGAACACATGTGGAAAGATGACCAAGTAAAGCTCAAGCACAGAAAAGACTCTTAGTGTATTTTTATCACTGATCTCTTTAAGATCAGAAATAAAACAAGGATGTTCACTAATATCGCTCATTCAATATTGTACTTGAGTCCTGGTCAGTGTAGAAATATGAGAAAAAGAAATGGAAAGCATAAGGCTGAAAAGGAAGAAATGAAATTGTCAATGTCTGCAGATGATATCACTGTCTACATAGAAATGCCAGATAACCTGTATCTATAGGTAGAGAGATACCATGTCAACAATAAACAAAAGAGAGGTGAATTGGGGCAGTGCCTGTGGCTCAGTGGGTAGGGCCCTGGCCCCATATACCAAGGGTGGTGGGTTCAAATCCAGCCCCCGGCCAAACTGCAATTAAAAAAAAAATAGCTGGGAGTTGTGGTGGGCACCTGTAGTCCCAGCTACTTGGGAGGCTGAGGCAAGAGAATAGCCTAAGTCCAGGAGTTAGAGGTATCTGTGAGCTGTGTGACACCACAGCACTCTACCAAGGGTGACAAAATGAGACTCTGTCCCTACAAAAAAAAAAAAGAGAGAGGTGAATGGCCTGAGAACTCTGCCTAGGCTGCAAGCTCAGGCAATTGTCAGCCTCTCCTCATTTGTTTTCTACTTCTCAAGGATAATCGTCCTTCCCTGCCTGTTGTCCAGTATCTTGAAAACTATTATTTCAAATGTTTATCTGATTTTTTGTTGTTTCAGGTGGGAGGGTAAATGTGATTGCTATTATACCATCTTGACTAAAAGCAGAAGTCTGAACTATATTTTTAAAAACCATATTTGTTTTCTCAAGAATCCTAGGCGTTCACCTACACGTGAGATGAATACCATGGGAGCACAAGAAGCCCACATATATGTGAAGACTGTGGCAGGAAGAGAGGAGCCCATGCATGACCCTTACCGCCCTACTGTAGAAATGGAGAGGAGGAGGGGGTTGTGGTGGCTTATACCCCGACTGAGCCTAGAGTGATGTGGTTCAGGCAAGGAGCAAGCCTGGAGCTGGAACAGGCCGAAGTGGTGTTAGGCCCACTGAGCAGGGCAGGCAAACAGTAATCAGTTTGCCCCAGCAGGTGGCGGCGGGGGTTGGGGGGGAACCTGTGGCCTTCTGATTTCAAGGTTGTTCTTCTATAAGCACCAAAGAAGGCAAGAAAAGCTTCAGATTTCTCTGCTTCACCCCTTTTAATAAAAGGATTTGTTCTGTAAAATTTGGAGTCAGTTAAAAGGTCACACTCAAGGATCCAGAAGGCCACCTGTGGCCCCAAGCCCGCAGTCCCCCACCTATGTGCAGGCAGCTCCTCTTCTTTTTTTCACACCCTTCCCCCTTTTTGCTGTTCCCTTCTTTTGCCCTTAATACTAATTACATTTCCTTTGTGACATTGGGTAAACTCCCTTCCCAGCACCCACCCAGCCTCAAAGACACATCATTCATTGCTCCCACTGTGTCTGTGATCAGAGAGTGTTTAAGGAAGGCAGTTCTGCAACAGGCTGTGTATGTATGCATGTGCGTGTGTGTATGTATGTGTATGCATGTGCGTGTGTGTATATATGTGTATGCATGTGTGTGTGTGTATGTATGTGTATGCATGTGCGTGTGTGTATGTATGTGTATGCATGTGCGTGTGTGTATATGCATGCATGGGTATGTGTGTGTGTTGAAAGAAAAGATGGGCAAGGGAAAGCAAGAGTTGCTCCAAGAGATTATCAGCAATGAGGGCTGTATCCGTTCTGTAGGAATGGAGAAAAGGCCCAAGTCCTTGAACCATCATGTGAAAAAACTGGCAGGAAGAGAGATCAAAAGAACCCAGGCAGATAAAGACAGGACCAAAGGAATGGACCAAATAGCAAGATACCTTCCATCTAAGGGAAGCCCATGGGCAGCATCTGCTGGCTGTGGCCAGACCTCCACCTTCACTCCCCTGAGGAAGCCTCCAGATAGCTGGTTCCTGCGTGCACAACCACTGTCCCTGTGTAGGCCAGGCTTCCTGGTGGGAAAGCCTGGGTCCAGGTCATCTTGGAGCCCATCCACCAGCTCCATGAACTACACCGATATCCTAAAAAACATTCCTTTCTCACAAAGAGCTTGTGAGTTCTCAGAAATGTGCCTCTTTCCCCTGAACAACCAAGAATGGGTTCTATAAAACAAAACTTTGTCACATGTTAACACTTGTTCTTCAAAGGGCCTTGTGAAATTCAATTTTGTGCCAAGTTGCCTGGGTCTAGTCACCTTGATTAGCAGATGTAATTTTAAGCAGACATGCCCAGTGATCTTGATGCCTGCACTTCTCTCTTGCACATCAAATAGAACACTAGATTTACTGAAAACTCAGCTATGGCCTTGGCTTTGATACTCATAGGTGTCAGCCCTAGGGCAGATTGTTGAGCACTCAGGGCCTAAATTCTGTACTTGTAAAGTGGAGATAGGAGTTCTCATCTTCTTCCCCTACACAGCGGTTGTGAAGCTGGATTGAAATACGCACACGAATAAGCCTTGTATCCTATAAAACAAGGTGTAATTTGTATTTTGGATCACTTATTTTAATTTTACTTACAATCTATTGCTTAGGATCTTTATTTCAAATTGTTTCTATTAAACTAGCAAGGTTCAGTATTTCTGTCATTTACTCTGCTATGATGCACAAGAATTTGTTTTTCGTAAAATGAAAAGTAAAATGGCCATTCTTATGAACCTAAAAAATGTCTGTGGCTTTTCTTTGCCTATAATAGGTAATTGTCCTCAGCTTTGGAACCAAGAATATCACCGATACTGGCACTTTCTTGGTCAGGCTGGAAGATGTTCAGTCCTTTGCAGAGGGTAGCCGAGAGTTGTAAGAAAAATGCTGATGTAGCCAACAGCTCTGGTTCCCAAACCCAGGGCTGCTGCCAGGTTATGGGTGACGTTAGGCAGGTTGAACAACAACACATTTGGTCTCATTTCCTCTTGTATCACTTGGAGTTGGACTTCCTGTGTCTCTAAGGTTACATCTACCCAGTTTGAACATTCTAACTTTGATTTTCCCAAACTTTGAAAAGTAAAGCAACGTGTACTTTCTTTACTTCCCTCCCCTGGTGACTACCTTTCTCACTCCCATCCACACAAACTCCTGGGCCCTCTGTGCTTCTCTGTTTCTGACTTCACAGGTGGAGAGACTTATCTATCCTATATTTTGCCAAGAAATAACAATTGTATGTAATTGTTTTCCTTGTGGCATTTATCCTTGCAACATTGTGATATTAATTGAAGACAATCGATTGCTAATGACTAATTTTTTGAAGGATTGCCAGTTCATAGAATGTTCAAATTCTGGTGTGAATTATTGTTTAATGCGTGAATTGATGTAAGGAATGAACAATGGCTTCTTTCCTGTGTCAGACAGGTCCTAAGACAACACTGGGGATATCATGAAAATGCTAAAGGCAACAGGGTTTTCTTGGAAATGTCTCTCCACCCAAAGGAATGTCAATCTCCTATTCACCCAAAGAAATAGTGTCAAGAACGTTGTCACAGCGGTTCTATGCTCCTGGGCTCAAAAACAAAAAAAGGTCTCTCTAAGGCTCGTATGAGAGAATATATACCCTCTTTCCTTCTTTCTCCTTTACTTGAACTTAGAGGAGAAGGAGAGGAAGACGTGGCCTGTCCTCCCACTGAGCGCTTCAAATGGCTAAAGAAAAGTCTGGTCCTGTCAGGGTAGACTTCAAAATGCTATGGTTCCAGCAAAAATCAGGAAGGACTCTCTCCTCAGCTCTATGGAGAAGCTACCTGAACTCCAATTAGACGTGTAAAAACCCTGGAATTGCGAGTGAGATGGGGGAACATTTTTTTTTTTTTTGAGACAGAGCCTCAAGCTATCCCCCTAGGTAGAGTGCTGTGGCATTACAGCTCATAGCAACCTCCAACTCCTGGGCTCAAGCGAGTCTCCTGCCTCAGCCTCCCAAGTAGCTGGGACCACAGGTGCCCGCCACAATGCCCGGCTATTTTTTTTTTTTTTTTTGGTTGCAGCTGTCATTGTTGTTTGGCGAGTCCGGGCTGGGGATTCGAACCCGCCACCTTAGGTGTACGTGGCTGGTGCCTTAGCTGGTTGAGCTATAGGCGCCGAGCCGGGGGGAACATTTTGTAAGATGGCTGAGTCTATCCAGTAAGCTGTAGGATCTGAAAACTGATGAGGCTCTCTGAAGGATGGGCAGGCTAGGTATGATTTGAGGCTTAAGAACTGATCTATAATTAGGTCAGATAGATTAGAGAGAATAATTTCTCACAGACTTAGATTCCCAGAGCTAGAATGAACTGGAGATTTGACTATGAGAACAAAGCATGGTGAAGGAACACCATAAATGTGACCGATTTTATGATGAAGAGTCAGGCGGTGGCTAGTGCTGACTCACCTGGCTGGGGATGATCCATTTATGAAGGCCAAGTCAGGGATGTGGGTCTTCGTCTTAGGAGCTGGGAAAAACCTAGTCTTGTGTGCTACTCCTAGTTTCTCTGTTCCAGACACACAGAACTCCCTCTGCTGTTCAGATGCCACAACCTCACTAGTACCATTGGCAGCCTCTCTGCAACCCAGACAGCTGGCATCTTCCAGCTGAAACACTTTCTCTCTGATGATCAGATGCTGTGCTCCCTCCTCCACATGGGCCTTTTCTCTGACACCAGTGTCCTCCTACCACATGGCCTTCGCACATGCTGTTGATGAGACACAAGTGGAGTCCGTGGTGGCCAAGGTGAGTAGAATTTGTCGGGTGGAGCACTGGGGAGGAAAGAGTTACACAGAGGCAGAACTCAGAGATCTGCGGGGGTACCTTTGAATACTGTATTGAGTACTGACCCACACGTGCGTGTGAGGAAGTTACTCAAGGCTGGACAAAGAACCACTCAAAAGGATTAGAGGGAACGATAACCTACGCTCCGACAGGGCCAGAAACAGTGGCTGTTCCCAAACAGTCAGAGCAGAAAACATCGTAATTCGTCAGATATCAGGTAGAATATTAACCCTACACTGAACTCTCTTAGTGCTGCTCTAGTCCTGCCTAATAAAGCTTAAGAGCAAGATAAGGATCACAGTTTCCAAGTAACTTAACCACATCCTAGAACAAAGTTCAAGAATATTAACAGGAATACAAAACTATCCAGCTCCCAACAGTAAAATTCACAATGTCTAGAATCCAGTAGAAAACTATTAAGGAGGTAAAGAGAGAGGAAAACATGTCCCATAATGAGTAGAATACTCAGAATTCGCACAGATGACACAATTAGTTTCAAGGACCTTGAAACAGTCAAAACTATATCCCATATGTTTAAGAAACTAGAGGAAAAATTGAATATGTGAATTAGAGACATGAAAGACATTTTAAAAAACCTGACTCATACATCTAAAGTTGAAAATTGTAACAACTAATACGCAAAAGATACTGAGTGGGGTTAATGAACCTATACACGACTGAAGAAAAGGTTAATAAACATGAAGATACATAAATAAAAATAAAAACTACCCCAAATAAGACACAGATTAAAGGGCTGAATAAAAAAAGTGAAAAAATAGGGGGATTCTAGGAAGATAGCTGACTGGTAGGAACCCTGGTCAGAGGCTCCTGAGCAAAGAAAGAAAAACTAGTTGGAATCAGAATCTATGAAGCCAAAGATGGGGAGCTGAGCCCCAAAAGTTTGGTAAGCTGTAAATCCAAGGAAGATCATTTAAGAACACAAAATATAGGTACAAAGCAGGCCCTAGAACTGCTTGCTAGAGCAGCCCGCCTCCCGCGGGTGGCAGGTGGCCGCAGAGAAGTCCCCTGCGCAGGGAAGGCACAGAACCACTTGCTAGAGCCTTGCACACCCCTGCAGGTGGTGGCGGACGAGTCCCCCACTCTGGGAGGACCCAGAACTGCTTGCTAGAGTCACGTGCCCCACAGGCGCCAGAGGAGACCCCTGCTCCAGGGCTCTGGGAAGGTCCAGGGCTCTGGGAAGGTCCAGAACCGTTTGCTAGAGCTGCAAGCCTCCCATGGGTGGCAGGTGGC